CCTCGTTCCTCACTCCTCCTCAGTACCCTCTCCGCCGGGCGGGGGGGTTGGGGGGAGCCATCAGCTCCTGCATTTAAGGAGGGGAACAGGACGGACATCTCCTCACCTCCTGCCTGACTGCTGTCCTTCCGGACTTCTCTGCCTTTTCCATCACACCCTCCTGCCCCTGCCCTTCACGCTCTTCAGCTCTCATTAGAAAGCTCTGGGGTCAGGGACCGTTTTTTTTTTTTTTTGTATTTGTAGCTGTAGCATTTAGCACAGTGCCTAGCATCTGTCGTTGTTCACTGGTTTAGTTGTGTCTGACTCAAAAAAAAAAAGAAAAAGAAAAAGAAAACCTTCAGAGCGGGCAGCTAGGTGGCGCAGTGGATAGAGCCCCGGCCTTGCAGTCAGGAAGATCTGAGTTCAAATGTGGCCTCAGACACTTGACACTTACTAGCTATGTGACCCTGGGCAAGTCACTTAACCCCGATTGCCTCACCAAAAAAAAAAAAAAAGAAAAAAGTAAAGTTGTGTCCAACTCTACATGACTCCATGGTTTTCCTGGCAAAGACACTGGAGTGGTTCACCATTTCCTTCTCCAGTGTATCCCCATCTTACAGATGAGGAACTGAGGCAAAGAGAAGTTAAGTGACTGGCCAGGCTCACACAGCTAACGTCTGAGGCCAGATATGAACTCAGGTCTTCCTGACTCCAGGCCCGGTGCTCTATCCACTGTACCACTGGCTATCCCTGCCCGGCACATGGTAGGCACTTAACAAATGATTACTGACTGACTATTAATTATTGTGAACCATTATGATTATGAGCCAAATGTACATAATCACTGGTAGATGTTGAATAAAATAACAATACAGCTAACATTTACATAATGCTTACTACTTTTCAGGCACCGTGCTGAACATTTTACAATTATTACTTCCTTTGATCCTCACAGCATCCCTGAGAGGTAGATGTTATTATCATCTCCATTTTACAGATGAGGAAACTGAGACAAACTGAGGTTAAGTGACTTTCTGAGAGTCACCCAGCTAGGGTGTGAGGCTGGATTTGAACTCAGGTCTTCATGAATACAGGGCTAGCACTCTATCCATTGCACCACCCAGTGACACTACTAATATCTTGCTTTTGCAATAAAACACTGCAAACTGAAGACTTACATTTAATACACAGATCTGAATTTCAGTCCTTAAAAATGATATAAAAGATAACAACACATGATAACAGTAAAATTATATAACTGCTTTTGTCCATTAGTCATGGTAAATGCATTTGATAGCTCTCTTTCACCTATAACTTTTTAAAATGTCTTTCCTGTGTAGAATAAGTAAACGACATTCATGAACTTCTCAATAGCCTGTCTTTCATAGGAATTGTGCCATGTAACTTAGGTGAGAAAACCTGGTGGTTCGACAAGACCGATGGCATTTCTCCCACAGCGGCTACAGGAGACTATAATATCCATCGTTCCATGATCTACATAAATGCCACACTGGCTACCAGTTAAACTTACTACAATAGAGTGCTTTAGTGAAATGGATTTTCCGTCAGAAAACCACAGGCAGCTAGGTGGCACCACAGTGCACAGAGCACTGGGCCTGGAGTTATTGAAGACCCAAGTTCAAACCCAGCCTCAGACCTTTAATAATAGCTGTGTGATCCTGGGCAAGTCACTTAACCCTGTTTACCTTAATTCACTGGAGAAGGAAATGGCAAATCAGTGTCTCTGCCCAAAAAACCCTATGGGTAGTATTGGCGTGCTATGGTCCACGGGGTCATGAAGAGTAGGACATGACTGAATGGATGAAAAACAAAAGGTCTGCCACTTACTGAAGTAGTGTGCCTTTGGGCAAGCCACTCAACTTCTCTAACCCCCCTCAGTTTCTTCATCTGTAAAATTAGAGGATTAGTCCATATAATCTCTATGGTCCCTTCCAGCTCTAAACTGATAATCTCTGATAACCAATCTGCTGAGCATAAATGTATCACACAGATACTACTTATGATAATGTCACTACTAAAGCCTAAAAGTGGTTAAAGTATCCCCCAAAAGAATAAGAAACAAACATAAATTATCCAGTGCTTATGTTAGTCGTGTGACCATGGGAAAGTCAGTTAACCTCTGAGCCTCAGTTTCCTCATCTATAAAATAAAGATAAAAACAGAAGTCATATTTCCTCCCACAGGGTTGTTGTAAAGTTCTAAAGTGTTTTGCAAACCTCAAAGCAGAATAAAGTTAGTGATTATTATTACTATTACTATATTGTTAATAAACAGGTGAGTAGTTTATTTTCATACCTAAGGGGATGTGATATAGTAAAAGAAAGTGGGTTTGCATCTTCACAAGTCTTGCATTTCATATCAGGGAACAAACTTCAGTCACCACTTTCATATAGAAATAATTTATTTAAGTCTCAGAGAATGACAAAATGACTTTTTAGATTTTAAAAGTAAAGCATAAATAGAAGTAATTAATCTACTAATTTTTCTTCCTTGACCAGGTACCAAGAATACACACATAACTTATAGGCTTTATGTTATAACTGGTTTGTTATTACTGTAAGCCACCACAGGGGAGTCTGTTGTATTTACATGCCGATGTGGAAATAATCAATGAATAATGCTGTATGACTTATTAAGCCTAAGAATCTGGAAGTGAGTAGCATCAATACACAATGACTCAAAAGGTAAGAACAATGATTCAAGCTGGCAGTACAACAACCACAGTAAGTACAACACAGGAAATGACTAGCAGGAGATCTGCCCACTTAACAACAGAGCTCACATTATGCTGAGGAAAAAAAATGACCTTTGTTATTACTGCTGGAGGCAAACTATGTCAGGCAGTACTGGAAAATTTTTGTATGATGCCATTCAATAAACACCAGGCCTCCTCAGCTTAGTTACTTTTGTTTTTCACCAGGAAGCATGTTTGCTTTTAAAATAAGAATTTCTGGGGGGAAAATCTGGTTTCAGTATCTTTCAAGATATTCTGAGTGGAATAATAACTAGGGTATCAGGTGAGGTCCTTTTGAAATTCTCCAAAGAGAATAATTCTTACTAAGACTGATTATAGCTTACTTGTCTAGTACATAATTTTTTATAACCTGGAATGTTAGATAACATGAAAAAAAAGAGAAGAAAATTAATCACAGTATACCAAACTACCCAACTTGCATAAATGAGGTCAGGATGGCGTGAGGATGAAGTGGGTCATATCTGCTTTAAGCTAAATTTTGTGTTATTTTACTTGGATTAATTTAAAAATTTTTAAAGAGATACAAGATAGTATAATATTAAATTACTTCTGATTTAAAGGAATGATTCTGTAACATTCTTAGCATTTAAAAACACATGCCTTGAATTTCCAATTAGATTTTTGACAACTCAACATTTAGTTAATCCATTAAAAATGTTGGCCTCTAGCAAGGAGTTTTTCTCATAGAGTTGAATTAGTAAACCCAAAGGGTTTCAGATTACTAAACCATATGAACCTAGGAAATCAAAATGAAAGTGACATATGCATTCTAAAAAGGTTTGGAGACTGTTCATTTAGTATGACTTCAGCCTCAAAAATGAAAACCTATATTTTTATTGTAGAGTACACAGGGGCTATATACAATAGAGAGATTTAATATTCTTTCCTAGGACCAAGAATAAGGGACATTTATGTTTAAAATGCAGAATTCCCATTCTCCCTGCTCCCTACCCCCTGGTGTGTTCCCGCTAAGCTTTATTGGATAAAAATGGACCTCCCTTTTGGTATCCATCCCTGCACCTTAAAGATGCTAATTTTTACATTAAACATATTCAAAGGTCTAATTTGCATAAATGAGCATGAATCATAGAACTGATTTGATCAATGACAATGATACCCTTTTTTTCGCTAAAACTGAAATACATAAAATATATAACATTTAACTGTTCATCCCCAAATCATCTATTCAAATGAGATTGATAATCAGTAAATATTGAGCTACAGTGAATAAAAATAATAAAAAGAGTTCAGATACTTAAAAACCAAGGAAACTTCATGCTCAAATCTATTTAATAGTCCAGGAAGGAGGCAATTAAATTGACCCTGGAATTTAACAGAGAATCCTGTGACAACAAGCAATGGGCAGCCCATTATACTTTTGGATAAAACTAACAGTCCATAATTTTTTCCCCTTATACCTAGACCAAAATTGCCTTTTTACAATTTCCACCCATAATTCCTCATTCTGTCTTCTAGGGCCAAACGATATCAGTTTTATCCCCTTCCCCACAACAGACCTTGAAACACTATACCTCCATCAGCTACTACGCCTTCACCTCACCCCTACACTGTTTAGATCTCTTTTTGGCTCCCTTCTCACATCTCCCTTCTCCTATACTTACCTGTATACAGGCTGCATTCCCACAGGAGAATGTAAATTCTGTGAGAGTAAGAATGTGTCATTTTTCAATCTTTGCATCCTCAGTGCCTAGCACAAAGTAGGTACTTAACGTCTGCTGAATTTAAAGAAGTTGTTTGGTGCCAAGACTTGTTTTACTAGACATAGGGGGTACAGCAGAAACATCTGTCATCCTACAGCTTGGTAATTTTAATTAGTTTGATTAGTTTCTGAGACTTAAGACTAGTTAAAGGACCCAACGAGCTACAGAAGTATATGAGTATAAAAAAAGAAGCTGAAGCTACAGTGAAGTGACCTGAGAAGACTAGGTAACTGGTTATCTAAAGGCCTAGTGTGTCCCAATTGTTCTTATACTATGCTGCAGATGCTATGATGTTTCAGGGCTGTTGGAGGATATACTCAATATCTAAATGCTTGCACAGATACGCAGCCACTAAATAAGTATTTATAACTATTAATGGCATATGTCCTGCTTTTTTAAAAATAGCATTGATAATATTTGAGATGTGGCAAATTCAGTATACCATTAACAAGACAATTACTCTATAATCAAAACTTTTTAACACACCACGTTGTGTAAAGATAACAAAAAACAAAAGCACTTACCCTTTAAGAAGCATAAATAAGATATGAGGATGTGCACTAATGTATTCCACCGTAGGACTTCGAGTACCTATCTGTCTTCTCAATATGTTGTTAAATATCTGGGTTACATCTTTTTTCCCCTGTTAAAGAAAAAAACATGACAAATTTAGTACGTAACTTTGAAAAAACAAATTGTACTTAACATAAGTTTAATAATTCACATATAATCCTCTTTTTTGTTCTTTGTATACTAAAATCATCCTGTTTGTTGATGGTTGCTAAGTTACCAATGGCATAGGATAGGGAAACAGATTGACTAACCATGATTTTATTAGCATGATAAAAAAGCAACAAAAACCACTATACATAAAATTATTCAAGAGTTCATGCCAATTATACTTGTTCCATAACCAATACTTTTAAATATAGTGAAAGAGATAATCTAGAAAGCAGAAAGGTAGAGGTGGTCCCTCTCTGGTGACCTTCCATCCATGACAATACAGACAAGAGAAAACAGAAAAGCATAACTTGAGAAAAATAGTGGCAAATGAATTTTTTTATTATTCATTTTTCTATTACTGAAATATATGAAATTACATCAAAATATATGAATAAATAGTTTATTTTCTATTATTGAAATAATATATATTCTGTTATTAATTTCATAATCAATAAAAAGCTATAATGATTGACCTTTTCAAAAATTTTTTCACAGATGAGGAGAGAAAGTATGAGTTGTTCTTACTGTTTGTCCTTTGTTTTCTAAGAGGATCAATGACATCAAGGGACAATGTCTTAACTTGTAGGTGACTTGGATTTAAGTGAGGCAGAGTTACAGAAAGTCATCAGCCTCACTCTCTTCCAGAGTCCTCGAAGTCCAGTGGCAAGACAAAAATCAAGATGACCAGTGATGCCCTACAATACAATGGATAAACTTGGCATCTTTGATGTCTGACTCTATACCTTCATGGCTATTGGGACAAACTGTTCTCATCTGTTCATTCCACCAGGGAAAGTCTTCACATGTTTGGGGTAGACATCCCCCCAACTCACAATGACTTTGAGGCTTGTCAGTTACCCTAAACATGGTTTAGTCCATCTGCCAAGATAGTTTTACCCGGGTGTGACTGCTGTCATGTTACAGCTTCTTGGAGTCACAGGTGAGAGTTGGGTGACAGGTGGACACCAAAGGTGGATAAACAGCCTTGAAAAGGGCTGGGTATGAGTATTTAGAGGAAAAAGATAGCAGGCAAACTGAAAATCGGTAAGAGATGAAGCTCATTTGGGTCAAGATCCACATAAATGCCACCTCTTAGTTACCTTGTTCATCTCTATGCAAAATGTAAAACAAAGCTTCACTGCATTGTTCTGAAGGTCTATTTTGGTCCTGGTAGAACCAGCGCTCCTTTTATTCACCCCATGATTTATATACCACCACTACCACCGTCCTCAAGGGAATTGTTGGCAGAGACACATTCTGGGACGATTCAAAGGTGTGCTCTTTCTAGGCTCAGCAGTAGCATGAACAGATGGTTGAAAGGAATGAAGGCACCTGTGGGGTGGACTCTGTCTACACGCTGTACTCATGCTTTGGCAGGTTCTTTTTAGTTCCCTGTAACTGGTTGTGACTGAGGGCCTTAATGAATCTCCTATTATGACGCAGATTCCCCTGAAGCGTCAACATTAAGCCTTTATCTCTGAACACCTTAATTTTTAGTTCCCTGTCATGATTACAAGCATTATTGTGCCTCCTTAACAGATGAGGAAACTAACAGAGATCTTCTTTCTACAAGGTTCAGTGTTTTTCCTCCTCCTTAAAGGTGTTTCAGCAAATCTTGATTGGAACCAAGCGGAGAGGAAGAATGGGACTGTGATAAGGAAGACCAACACAGAAGCAAGTTTCCAGGGCCTGAAAGGCGAAAGGCGGTGCGAATAGGAGGAGGTACTACAGACAGTCTCTTCTCCCAGGGTCTCCTCTGCCCCTGCAATTCCAAGTCATCCCACGCTCTGCCTCTTGCTCCTCTGGCCTTGGATGCCATTCCTTACTTTGAAAAATAACAGGTCTTCCTTTTTGCCATCCCATAGTGCTTGGTAGATAGTAAGTGCTTCGTAAATGCGTGTTGGCCAACTTGATTTGGAAAGTCACGTTCTCATATGGTCCCATTTTCAAGTGGAATTTTTTTTGTCAGAATTCCAGGTTTATAAGCTCATTATCCTTTAAGCACTAATCCTATTGGCTATTTCCTCCCGGTGCTTCCAACACTGACTACTGGACAGAAATGTCTTCAAAGGCAAGAGCGTTCCTGCTGTTTGTTAGCACATTGGCAAGGAGTTGCTGAGAAAATCTTCAATTAGGGAGAGTTATGAACGAAAAGCTTAACTGTATAACTTTCTCTTTTGTGTCCAATTGTACCTAGAACTTGGTTGCCTTTGTTTGAAATCCACATTTTCTCCAATGATTATAAAACTTGTATTGGGTGAATTTAAATGAAATGTAGAGCTTCGCTGGGGCACTCCTGTCCCAAAATACAACTGGAAAATTAAAACCATTTGTTAACAACAACAACAAAAAAGAACCAGGGCTCCTTGAGAGCAAAGATTGCTTTTTTTTTTTTTGGTCTTTATGTACCCAGTGCCAAGGATGGTGCTTCATATATAATCAGTGATTAATAATGCTTATTACTTGACTGATTGATGAAAGTGACCTTGGAAATTCATGTAAGGCATTTCCTCTGCAGAAAAAAGTAAGCTATTACACAGATAACTTGAGATTATCCTGGACAAAACCTCCATTCTCATAAAATAAATAAGTTCAGAATAGCCTGGGTTTCTTAGAGAAGTCCTGGATATAAACAGATTCCCTTGAGGTCTATTGGTCTCAAAATGTCATCGAGAAAGGTTTCCATCACTTAAGGGCAAAGTTATGTCCCAAACACCTTACAGACATGCTCTTTAAGAGGTGGTTCTATCATTAAGTGAAATGAGTCACTGAAACAAGATCATAAGCTTTAGAGCTAGAAGGGACCTTAAAGATTGAGGCCAATCCCCTCAAGTTATAGGTCAAGAAACTGAGACTTGGAGAAGTGACTCAAGATCATGTAAGTAGTTACCGGCAGAAATGGGATTGAAACAGATCTTCTGCTTTTTTGATTATACCTGACTGCCTGTCAATATGCTGCTTCTTCAGTATTCCAACAGGAACAACCATAGGACTGCAGGTTGCAAGGGAAAGATAGGATAAGTAGATTCTACTGGAAATTATTTATCCTCAAAGACTTCAATACACATACACATGAATGATCCTAGCACTCTAGTCTAACAAATTCTTTACTTCAACTCCTTTGACTTCCATTGCCATTTTATTTCAGCCACTTCTAAGAGTCATCATGTACACATCTCATTGGCATTCAAAACAACTCTACCTACAAGGACCAGAACTTTGAAATTCCTTTATCTGACCCAAATTTCTGGTCATTCTACTCCTCCTACGCCTTATCTTCACTCCGATTATGGCCTTACTTCCTTTTTGTCCAATCCTTTTCCTCATTCTTTTATTTCTTCAAGGTATAGGCCTAGTAATACTGGTATTCCTTGGTCAGAGGTTACACATGCTCTGATAACCTTTGGGGGGCATAGCTCAGACCTGTTTTCTGTAATGGCTGGACCAATTTAAATTTACATCTCCACCAACAGTGCATCAATGAGCCTATTTTCTTGCAGCCCATCCAATGTTTGTCATTTTCCTTTTTTGTCAACTGAGCCAATCTGATGGGTATGAGATGGAGCCTCAGGGTCTCCATTTCTGCTGTGCAGTTGTTACAGTAACTCTGTATTCCTTCTTTTCATGGCTCTCTAGATTTGCAGGGATTTTTTTTGTACTAGTTGGTACTTTCTTTGATTTTCTTCTTTCTCTGGCTTTAGTCATTGAATAGGGGTTTCATGCTGAACAACTAAGTACTCACTGTGCAAGTGCTTAGTAAATGTTAAACTAAATTAATAAAAATGATCACAAAATAATTATAATTGTCTTAATCATTAACAATTTAACTTAAATACTCAAATAGATCTATGATTCCATTGCTCTGGATGTTTTCTTGAGTGCTGTGGACTGCCATCCACCCATGCCTGCCCGTCACATATGACTGCTGCCCATGTCTTCCAAGATGGTTGACACCTTGATGAGGCCTTCCTCACTTCCTTCTGACATTATGAGGGCACCAAGATAGCTCTTCAGATGCCTATTTGTGATCACACACCATGTCACAAACCCACTTTGTATTCTAGCACACATTTTTCTGATGATGACATGTACTTCAAGACTTCAAATTTTTTTATTTGTAATGCTGCAACTTGATCACATTCACTACAAATCTCTCCACTGCCCTTTTGTATGATACTTATTTTTAATTTCTTAAGAGTGTTCCATGACTCACAGTCATACAATAACACCAGTAAAATATTGGCATCAGAAAATATGCTTCTGTTTCTGAGAGAAGTTTGGGGTCATTAAAGGAGTTTTGCAATTTCTCAAAGTCAATACAGTCTATTCTCCTGTTTAACTTTGGGTCCAAATCATGGTCCATTTGAACTATTTGCCACAAATGTACATACTGATGGACAAACTCTCCAAGTGGTACATTTAACTCTGTAAAAATCTAGCAATAGACATTCTTTATACATTTAGCTCTCTTGTATGGGTGGTTAGGGTATACTCTTGAATGGTTACAGATCTCTTCTAGGGAGCTCTTGATATAACGAGCACTATCAGCAATAAACAATTGGGGGATGTCATTATCCATGGGGAATCCTTCTTCAACATGGACTCTGCACTAGACATACTCCATCATTGTGATTGACACCATTAGTGAGCTATAGCTACTTAATATTAATGATCAGAGAATTATCAAGTAAGGTTGTCACTATTATTATCTCTTTCAACGAATCTTGACCAGTTTTGATGTATACATTGGAGGCACCTTGTCAGAGGAGATCTTTTAATGTTACACTTTGTTCTAACAAATCAAAAGCTGTTCATAATCAACAAATAAGAAGCAGTGGGATCTTGAATCTAGAATGTACTCTCTTTACTTTCATCTCTGGAATCTCTAGCTTCTTTCATGACACAGATCAGCCTATATGAAGCTTCTCCTGACTTCTCTCTGTTATTATATTAATTAGTTATTATAACCAGCTATTTTAAATTAGTCATTATTATAATGATTATAATAATTACTTATTCCCTCTTAAAATAATTTTCAAATTACATACAGTTTATATTTACTCATCTGTCTATATGCTGTGTGCTACCTCTTCTTCCCCTTTCCCCTATAGAATGTAAACTTCTTGAAGGCAGGGGCTTTTTTCTCTGTCTTCATATCTTTAGTACGTAGCACAGTGTCTTCCCTGCAAATAATAAGCACTCAGTATGAGGTTTTCCAATTTAATTTTACAGGAATCCTTGAGGAGGCATTTGAGGAGCCTAAACTATATTGCTTGCTGGAAAATTTCCCAAGAGCAGCCATAGATGTTACAGATCAAGTAGCTAATCACTGTAACCCTTGCACACAAAGGAGCCCTCTTGCTTTCTTGAGCTAACATTTTATCAGTATCAGGTAAGCCATTTTGAACCTGACATTATGCAGAACACACCTGCTTTAGAATACAAAATGTAAACCAACCCCCATTTGCATTGACTTTTTTTCTTTTAATGTTTATATTTAATTTTTTTCCAATTACATATAAAACAATTTTTAATATTCTTTTTTAATGCACTGAATATTTTGTCCTTTATTCTTCCCTGTTTTGGTACTTTCAACGTAAAAAAAAAGTGCCAGTGCTTTGAGTCTGAATGGTAGACAAACTAAAAGACACACTATGGAATTTTTATCCTAAATCCATTTTGGCGAGTCTTTCTATTTCAGCCATGTAACCTGAGCACTGCGTCATAATAATGAAGTGTAAAAGTCACTGCAGTACTGATCTCTTTTTCTTCTTTTACTGGCCATTATACAGCCTTAATCTAATGTAATAAAGTAACGGGACTCTCTAATTCTTAGTATGTTTGCTAATCAACCAAATGAGTTTTATAGCTCTTTGAAGGTCTCACTTTAGGAGACTATGCACCTTTTCAAATGATGCTAACATTGTTCAAAATATTTTTAGAACTCTTCTGGAACTGCCTTCAGAGATAATTCACCAGTTACACAAGAAAATTTAGTTCAATCAATCAATCAATCAGTTAGAATAATCCATTATTACATGTTATATTATTCATCTATTATATTATATATAATCTGTACTATATTTTGCTTAAATGTTTTCAGGGAATATTTTTATTGGACATTCATTTTTTGAGTTTTTGTTTGTATGCTGTCACTTTATCAATTAAAAAAAGAAAATTACTTTTACTACTTAAAAAAATAGTCTATTCTCCCTTGGTCTTATATCTATTTCTCTCTCCTTTCCTTCCCTCTGTCCCTTATGCACTTAGCTGAGCTTCTTCTTTGCTATTTAAGCCAATATTTTGAAGACCCCAGAAAGAGGCTCTGGAAGGATGAAACTTAACAGGAGGCATATCAAGAAGCAGACTGACAAACATTAATTTGAATGCTGCCTGCCTGTTCAATCACAGGTACATCTAGCTGAGCACGATAAAAGCAAATTATTTTAGGTAAAGGATTGCTTGTGTGGTATATTCTCACCTATATTATATCACAATGAAAGATATTCGTAATGATGACTCTGAGTCAATAATGGTTTAACACAGGCAAGTGTACGGAACATTTAAGGAAAATCTCAAAAAAATTAAGTTTAGCATTGAAAGGCTTAACCCTCAATTATAGGGCCTAAAGGACTATTTGCAACGATTCAGTGCTTGAACATTCTGGATAGCTGATTATTAGATAACAGATAAAACCATATGCTGAGAACTTACTGATACAATCTGATTAGCAACTCTCCATTTCTGAGAGTTCAACTGAGCCACTAAAATTCACTTGTTACAAGCCCGCAGTCTTAACAGTAAGCTAATATTTGAACTAGCAAAATAAACCATGATTCCTGTCTTGCAAACTAGTGTTTTTTCACTAAGCTGCAATGCATTTATTCATTAGACAGAGAGACGTAGGTGAACGACGTGCCATGCAGTACAGTGTCTGCATTTACTACAGTTTAGGGCTTACCAAGTAACAATGTAGCTTCCTATTTCCAGGGGGAAGAAGGGTTTTGTAAATTTTCTTTTAGTCCAGGTAGGACTACTAAAAGCTTAAAACTAAACATAGCCCCTCAGTCCAATATTACTGCTTACTACTTATTACTAAACTGTGCATAATACTTGAGGATAATATAGCTATGTAAAAAGTTACAGAAGATTTGAGTTCTCCCCAGTTTCAATCTGTTGAATTGAAAGAAATTAATGATTTAGAAAAGTCGCAGGAAGTAACTGACAGTCATCTTCAAACTAAACGACTCAAGTGGCTCAAGGAGACAGATGACTCAGCTTACCTCAAAGTCTATCAGCTGCAGGTCAGCTATAAGGGTTACAAGCAGTCCGCTAGTATACAGCTCTTGGGCTAACTGAGCCACAGCTTCTGTGGGTGGTTCCTTATCATTTGTACCACAAAGAATTTCCTTCATTGCTTGCAGTGACTTAGACACTTCTTCTGAAGCCTGGTAACCAAAGAGCACATTAAGAATAATACATTTTAGATTTTGAAAGGAATGAAACTATTCAGACAACAAAACTCAACTGCTCCTTACAGTCAGTGTGATGTGGCTGCCAAGGAAGCTAAGACAAATCTAGGCTAGAGCAATAAATGTCCCAATTACTAGAGGAATGATTCTACTTTACCCTCTTCTAGTCAGGCTACATCTGAAAAAAACTGTGCTCAATTCTCAACACTTTATTAAAGAGACCTTGATAAACTTGTATGTCCTAAAATTCCAAGGGAAGAAACCCATGTCATATAAAGAATGGCTGAATAAATGGGATGTTTAGCTTAAAGTGAAGACTATGGGAAGATGTGATCGGCTGTTGTGTAGAAGTAGGTGCAGATGTTTTCAGTTTTGCTCTGGAGTACATAATAAGAACCAATGGGTAAAAGCTACAGAGAAGGCAGATTTCAGCCAAAAAAAAAAAGAGGAATAACTTCCCAACAATTAGATCTATTCATCAATATCATGAATGACCTCATGAAATTGTGAACTTCCTGTAACTAAAAGTATTTGTACAGATGATCACCTGATAGGAATATTATAGAAGGCGTTACTCCATGCCCAGAGAGGGTTAAAGGTTAAATTAAATGACTTTTAAGGGCTCTTCTAACACCAGGATCCCATCAAGTAAGAATGATAAAATTTTAAGGCTGATTCCTAGGACATTAATGTAATATTCATATCCCTATCATGACAAACCATAATGCCATTGCTTTTTTTTTCTCGTCTATGTGCATCAGGTTCATCCAGGTTACTCTGGTTTTTTTCAACCATGTTCAAGATACATAGAGCACTCAATCTTTCTTTTCATGGAATCATAGAATCTTAAAACAGGAAATGACATCAGAAGTCACCTAGTACAACCTAGCACGAGTACTTTTTCTAGTTATAACTATGTCACTTCCCTTCTCTATAAACTACAGTGGCTCACTACTGCTTCTGAGATACGGTATCAACTTTTATGCTTAGCCTTTAAAAGCTTCAAAGACGTGGCCTCCACACTGTCTTTCTAACCTCATTCCTCATCCCCCTGCAGTATGTAACCCAGTCAAACAGCCTTTTTCTCTAACCCTTACACATGGCACTCCATCTTCTGTCTTTACATCTTTGTACTGGTTGTCCTCCGTGTCCAAAGTGCAATTCTTCCCCTTAGAGTCTCTCTCTCCCTTTAAAACAGTGCTAAAGCACCACCTTCTGCCTGAAGCCTTTTTTGACTCCCCCCAACTGCTAGTGCCTTGTCTCCTGACTTGTAGCCATCCCCTTTGCATTTATTCTCCTTCTACTTCTTCTGTAGGTATTGACATACGTACTTCTTGTTTCTCATGTTAGAACCTGAGCTCCTTGAGAGTAGAGATTGTTTCATTCTTTGGGTTTGTATCCGCAGCACGGAGTACACTGCCTAGAATTTAGTAGGTGCTTAATGGTGTTGTTCAGTAATTTTTCAGTTGTGTTTGATTCTTTGTGAGCCAATTTGGGTTTATCTTGCCAGACATACTGGAGAAGCAAACAGGTTAAAATGATTTGCCCAGGGTCGCACAGCCAGCAAGTGTCTGATGCCAAATTTAAACTCAGGAAGATGAATCTTCTTGACTCCAGGCCTGGCACTCTATCCACTATACCATCTGTTTGTTATTGACTTATAATATTTCTGACAAGTGGCCACCCAGAGTCCATTTTTTCCCCCATTAAATTCAAGAAACACTTATTAGGCACCTACTATGTGGTGGTCACAGGGGACAAAAAGTTAAAACCACAATCTTTGGGGCTTAAGGAGCTTATAGTCTATTGTGAAGATTCAACACTTAAACATATGAATAAACACAATTTAATTTGGGGAAGAAGAGAATACAATTATGGGGATCAGGAAAGAAAGCCTGAGCTAAGCCTTGAAATGATCTAAGGATTCCAAAAGGTAGAGGTAAGGAAATAGTAGAAATAGGACAGGTAATGGGGAGGGTCACTGAGGTATCACTGAAACCATTAAAGGTATATACTCATAAGGATAAGATATATACAATAAGAAAACTTGGGAACCAGAAGGGGAGTAGTATGATGGAGAACATCTGGTGTAGATAAATGAAAGGCAGAAACAGAAACAAGTGTAAACAGGTTACCTGGACAAAAAAAAGAAAAGACTGGGAGCTCAGGAGACAGATCTTATAAGCCTGGCATAATTAAGGGGAGATAAGGAACTTCAATTACCCAGACTTCTGCTAGAGCTCACTCTGTCCAAAGCAGAGCTGCTAAGATTTTCTTTTTACTTGTCAATGATAATTTCTTGTTTCAAAAGATGGAGAAAACAATAAAGGGAATGTGTATTCTGGATCTGATTCATACCAACAGGTAAGAATGGAATCTTAGAGAAAAGTGACCACTTACCTCAGATTTTGTGATAGAGTGCAAAGCATGGTCTGATATGAACCCTAGGGCTCAGAGGAAGGATGGAAGGATCACACTCACTAAAATTCTACAGGAGATGTCAGCCGTCAAAATGAAGAAATTCTCAAGAATGAAATTAAGAACACAAAGACAAGCCAATAAGGAGGAAAACAGGGAGATATTTGAAGATATTGATGTGGATGAACAGGGAATCTAAACAAATTTGGTTTTATGTTTATTGATTGATTAAGAAAGGGAAAGAAAGACATCTACAGAAGATGGAAGCAAAGGCAAGTAACAGAGGGTGAATAAAAAAGTGTGGCATGGTACTTTAAGAATAACTTCAGCTCAGAATGAGATAAAAGCTAGTGAGGAAAGCAAAGTACAACAAAAGCTACATGGCTTTTTGATGCTGGAATAAGAGACTCAAAAAAAAAGGTCAGAATACTGCATGTGGATGGGACCATGATGAATGATGACAAGGAGGTGACACAGCTGCTTGAAAAAATTCTGAGAATTTCAGTAGATTGCAATTTCAGAATGGGTTCATAGTGTGAAAAGGCAACCCAAAAAGTTATTGTGAAGCAAGGTTCATCTTCCAGGAATCACTAAGAGAGAGACAGACTTGTTCTTCTCTATCCTCATCATTTCACATATAGAAAACACGTGGTCACGCGTGAACATCACATCTTAGGTGGGACACTGATAAACTACAGTACATCCAGAAGACCACAACCACAACGGCACATTCCATGTAAAGGATTGGTTGGAGGAATTAGGGATGTTTAGCCTGGAGATGGGAAAACTCTCAGTGTCCCATAGATATCAAACTCACCATGTCCAAAACAGACCTCATAATCTTTCTTCTAAGCCCACTCTTCTGAACTTCCCTCTTTCTTTTAAGGATACCACCATTGTTCTAGTCACCCAGGTTCACACCCACAAGATCATCAACAATCACTCTTCTTCACCTTCTGTATTCAATAAGCTGCTATTGCTTTTAGGTATATTTACCACCTTGTATGTATTTTCTACATACTTAAATGTACTCATCTTCCCCAGTACAATATAAGCTCTTTGAGAACAGAGCCTTTTTCATTATCGTCTCTGTATCACCCAGCATAGTGCCTAGTACATTGCTCATGCCTAATAAATGCTTATTGGTGGATTGACTTAGATAATAGCTGTCTTAAGGGTTTAAAGGGCTGTTACTGGGGAAAAGAATCTCTCTCATACATGAAAAGTCTGAGCATTTGTTCTATTTAACCACAGAGGGAAGACACAAGAGCAATGGGTAGAAGTTGCCAAAAGAAAAATTAGGCTGTCTGTCATGAAAAACTTCAAACTATTAGAACGATCCAAAAAGCAGAAAGGGTTTCCTCAGGATGTGGGCAGTTCTCCTTCACTGGAGATCTTCAATCAAAGGCTGGCTGGCAATTGGGAGCATGCTATAGGATGAATTCTTTTTTAGGGATGGGTCAGCCTAGATGGCTCCTCAGCTGTGGGCATGTAGGACAGTTCATACAAAAGCAAAGAGGTGAGAGACCGAATGCCTACATCAAGGGACAGCAAGTAGGCCAGTCTTGCTGGAATGCAAGGTGCATGAAGGGGAACAATGTGAATTCTGTCAGGGAAGTTAGGCAGGAGCCAGGCTGGGAAGGTTTCTAAATGCCCAGCTAAGGAGCTTATCTTTTATCCGAAAAGGAACAGAGAGCTCCTGAGGGACCGCTAAAGTTCCTCTTCCAACTTAGAAAATCATGGATTTTAAGAGCTGGAAGAGACATTCACAGTCATCTAGTCCAAACCAGACATGAAAGAAATGGGGAAATGGAGGCTCTGAGAAGTTAAGTGACTTGCCCAGGGTCACACAGCTAGTAACTATCTCAGGCTGGATCTGAACTCTGGCATTCTAGACTCCAGGCTCAGCACTTTATCCACTGCACCTACCTAGCTGTCTTGAGTGAACAGAGCCCAACATAAATATAAAGCCCAGAGTCAAGAAGGAGGCTGGAAGAATGAGCAAACAAAAAAAGAACCCAAACATAAAGGCCTATTATGGTGACAGGGAAGCTCAAGACAAACCCAGAAGAGAATGGCTGAAAACATCTCTAAGCAAAGCCTCAAAGAAGAATGCAGATTGTAATTTCATTAGTATAGGGAACTCTTGGGTGATAAAACTCCGGACCAGTGGAGGTTAGCATCTTCTCAGTACTGTATATTCTTAGAGACTGGCCTAGATCATTGAGAAGTTAAGTCGCTTGCCCAGGATCTCGCAGCCAGTAAGGATCAGAGGCAAGACCTGAGCTTTGGTCTTCCCCAGTGCAAAGCCAGATTCCTATCCACTATACCACACTGCCTTCTATTGCACGTGGCAGTTACTTAATAAATGTTTCTTGAATGAATGCATGGGTACAAGCTTGAGGGGAGACAGTTAACAAACTAAATAACTTAGTTTGGTTCTATACTGAGTTCTTATATTATCTTCTTTAGAGGTATTTGATATACAGCTAGTCTATCTTGAACTCAAATTAAAATTCCAACGTGGGTGTGGGTGGGAGGGGTTGATTACAGGGTGTGTGTGGGTCTTTGTTTGTAGGGGCCATGCCACTCTGTGGTCCATAAAATGCGCAAAAAGATCAGTTCATGTACTCATGGCTTCTCTTGGACCTTGAGAAGAAACACCAGCACATAGCAAAACACTCAAAAGGGGAAAGGAGGGAAAGACTCTCCCATGTGCAGATTTCTCCTCATAGAACAGGAGAGTTCCTGGGCAACATGAGCTTTGGGAGTTGTCTCATGGATAAGCCAAACTTTTTATAAAAATTTCCAAATGTGACAGTTCAGGGATCAGACCTTCTAGAATCTAGAGAGAGAATTTTCTGATGTAGCATACTCCTTGGTGAGGGGGGTGGGGGGAAAGAAGATAGTCCAAATAATTCCTACTTGAAGATCAAAGCCAGTGAATTACTTTAATAGTATAGGTCCGGTAGGATGGAGATTTCTTGCTTAGCAGTCTCCAAAATATGCTAACCTTCTAGGGGAAGTCTAAACCACAAGGCAGTAGTCAGTCTTGGGGTACTCTATAGGACTCTCTTGGAGTAAAGGTATCACTTGAATGAGGGTTTTCCCAATAACTATCCCAGTTTAGCTCCTGTCTAGGGGATCTGATGGAATATCTAAAGTTCTTGGTATCTGTTTATAGGCCCCTGTGAGTCCTTTGTATCTCCTGTACTTTCCTTGGCATAAAGGTTGTCCTGAGCCCAGTATATTTTCAGCGCCTTGTGTATTCATAGAAGAATTAGGGACTCTTTGAACCACTTCTGGGGAAACCTAGACATAAGCTATACTATGAGAATATTAAGACATTTTCCTCAAACAGTTCTAGGTATGAACAATGAACCAAAGCAAGCAAATGACCCTGTTGAAGTTAGCATTCAGGAATCAAAGCCAGTCCCTATGAGTACAAAACTGTGGCGTGGGTTCTGGGCCATGAGTTGCCTCATTTTTCTACAGCCAACAGACTTAAATCTAAAAATAATCAAACTCAGATATATACCTAAGGACCACACTGACATACGATATTTGAAATTTGAATCAGAGCTAGAAAAGATCTCAAAAGTCAATGAGTCTGACATTTTCATTTTAAAAACAAGAAAACCAAGGGCTAGAGAGGTGAATGATTTGTTCAGAATCCTACAGAAAGCCTGCAGCAGAAGCTGGACAGTAGGGCTCTTCCAACTACACAGATGGGTATCTTCTAGTAGGCAGAGTCAACTTCCAAGATTCATAAATCATCCGTTCAATTAGCTTTATTCTTAGAATAAATACATTTTTACAATACTCTCATTATGTTATCTCATACCTTGTCTGTCTTTTTTTCCTGCTTTTCCAATATAGCCAGGTTGTCTTTTAGAGTTTTCACAATTTCTGCTGGATTTTTGTGTGATTTACTAAACAGAGGCATTTTTTTTCATTCACTCACGATTCTTCTTCTAATTATCTATGGAATTCTTTAAATAAAAAATTAAAAAGAGAAATTAATATATATTTTAACATATAAACTATGCAAAATATCTTGTAAGTTTAAAACTACATTAATTTGGTAGTAAACTAAGCATTTTCTAATTAAAATAATATTTTTGTCAAGTTCTACACAAAAAAAAGTCTGTCTTTTAAGTGAGGCATTTTCAATAGTTCTTACACTTATATGTTCTACTCTCCTAAAATAACAAACACAAACTTACTTATATGGCACTATAACACTTAAACTTTCTTCAAAACAATTATGTGAAGTAGGTAATGTAGCTTTTGTTATGCTCATTTTATGGTTGAGTTCAGTGAGGTTATAGTTGAGATGTTTAAGTGATTTGCCCAAGGTCATACAGCTAGTACTAGAAGTCAAAATGAGGTCCTGACTTTAATGTCATATCAGTTAACAGAGCTGAAAGGGACCTCAGAGGTCATCTAATCTAACCCCTTTATTACAGATAAGGAAACTGAGGCCCCAAAAAGGTGAAGAGGCATGCCCAAGGTCACACAGTAGCAGAACCCAAGTCCTCCAACCCCAAATTCAGTGATCTTCCTTGCTAGAGTGAATATAACGTTAGAAGTGCTGTAAAGGAGTTAAGCAGATACAGCCTGTAGAATTAAAACAGTTTGTCTAGTAGTTTAAATGTTTAAGCCCAATATATTAAAAAATGAGACATAAGATATGTTGAAAAGATCAAAAGTCTGTCACCTTCCTAACCTTTGCTAACCTCCTCTCCCAGCCCCATTCTAACTAAGCTACCAGTCCAATAAACACTATATAAATACAAGTTATAAATAGAATTAGTATTTAGGTGTCTTTTTGTTTAAGCAAATTTGTCTAATCCTTCCTTAAAAAGTTTGTTGATGCCTTTTATTTTTATTTCACTCACTTCAAGATGTCTCTAGCCCTTCTTCCTTCCCCACTCCATTAATCTCTCTCTTAACAAAGAAAAAAAGGTAACTGACCCTAACCAACAATTAGTGACCATATCTGACAGCAGCTGCAATTGTCAGTTCCATTCCATACCCATAATACTCCACCTCTCTACCAAAGAAGGGAAGTACATTTCATTGTGTCATGCTTACTCAGAGTTTGGCTTTCATTTACTTAAAACCCTTTGTCTTGTAAATTTTTTCTTTCTTTCCAGTTTCTATTTTTTTAAAATTAACAAGCATTTATTTACTTTGTCTCCTAGCCAGCACTGGGAGAGAAAAAAAAAAGAAAGAAAGAACTAGAAAAACCACACCCTTATAACAAAAATGTAGAGTCAAGCAAAAAAAACTTCTGAAATGGCTATGTTCAAAAATGTTTCATTCTGCACTGAGTCAATCATCTCTCTATCAGGAGATAGAACACTTCACTTTTAACAAAGTTTTGGCAGAATCCTTGCAATTAAATCTTTTTAAATGATTAGAAAAAAATCCTTACTGATGGTACCAAATAGTAAGTTTATTTTAAACAAATAATATTTTTTTTCAGATAAATCTTATTCCAAATCTAATGTGTGACACTTTCTCTCGTCCTCAGTTTCCTTATTTGTAAAATGAAAGGGAAGATCAGACTAAATGATCTCTAAAGTCCCTTATAGCTCTATAACTATCTATGATTACAATTTTTACTATCCGTAACTTTTATAATTGTATACTATCAGAAGTGATGGCTTACCTTAAGATATAAAGCCAGAGGGATGAGGCAGTGGCCCCATATTCTCTAGGGCAGTGATGTCTAACTCAAATAGAAACAGGGGTCACTAAACCATACGTAAGGATTCTTGAGGGCTGCACATTGTCTTAGAAAACCACATATTAATATTATCTGTTTTATTATGTTTTTATTTATTTTGTCAAATATTTCCCAATTATATCTTAATCTGGTTTGGGCACAGTCAGGAGTGTGATGCACCAAATGTTGCCCATGTATTTTACATCTCTTTTCTAGGGAGCACAGTTCAGTCACTTCAGATGTCATCTATAATGCTAACAGAATAAGGTTTATGTGAGGACAAATGGTATTCTATTATCTTCATAACATCCAAACCTCCATCAAGATTTCTGGGTGGTAATACAATTCTAACAGTATACCATAAGACCAATACAATACATATTGGAAAAGTGATAAGGACTATGGATGTAAAATAATCAAAGGGTACTACTAGAAAACCCATCATCACAATGTCCCTCCTCCAGGTTCTACCAAAGAGGTTATTAGGAAAATTGAAGCCAAGGATGGTGGCCTACATCTATATGGTCTACCTAAGACTGGAGGATTGCTTGAGCTTGGGAGACCTTAGCTCTAGTGATGTTAAAGCAAATTAGGTATCTGAACCAAGTCCACACAAATATGGTAAGCCTTGGGGGCTGGAGAGTTCCCAGGCTGCCTCCTGTTCAGTCACAATTTAAAGAATTTTAAATATCATTATTAATATTTTACTAAGTTATACACACACACACACACACACACACACACAAATCTGGAATGTAAAATCTATGAACCAAGTTAAGCTGGATGTGGTTAAACAGGAGATAGAAAGCTTAATATTGACATCTTGGGTGTCAGTGAGTTTAAAAGGACAGGATGGGTGAATTTAATTTAGGTAATCGTTACATATACTACTGTGGGCAAGAATTTCTTAGAAGAAACAGAGAAGCCCTCATAGTCAATAAAAAAAGGGTGTGAAATGCAGTACCGGGGTATAATCTCAAAAGCGACAAAATGATATCTGTTTGAACCCAAGGCAAACCATTCAGCATCACAGTAATACAAGTTTACACTCCAACTACTGATGCTAAAGAAGCCAAAGTTGATCAGTTCTATGAAGACTTACAGCATCTTCTAGAAGTAACACCAAAAAAAGATGTCACCTTCAGCATAGGGGATTGGAATGCTAAAGTAGGAACTCAAAAGATAACCGGAGTAACAGGCAAGTTTGGCCTTGGAATACAAAATTAATCAGGGCAGAGACTAACAGAGTTTTGTCAAGATAACTCACTGGTTAAACACTCTTTTTCAACAACCCAAAAGGCAGTCCACTACACATTGATATCACCAGATGGTTAATACAGATATCAGACCGATTATATTCTTTGCAACCAAAGGTGGAGAAGCTCTACACAGTCAGTTAAAACAAGACCTGGAGCTTATTATGGCTCAGATCATGAGTTTCTTATTGCAAAATTCAGACAAACAGAAGGAAGTAAGGACAACCATTAGACAATATGGATATGACCTAACTAACACCCCTTATGAATGTGAAGTCAAAGTGAAGAATAGATTTAAAGGACTGGAGCTGGTAGACAGAGTACCTAAAGAACTACAGACAGAAGTTTGCGCTATTGTACAGGAGGCAGCAACCAAAACCAAAAAACAAGAAAAGAAGAGCAAGAAAGTAAAATGACTGTCTGATGAGGCTTTACAAATAGCTACGGAAAGAAGAAAAGCAAAAGGTAAAGGAACAAGGGAAAGATATGCCTAACTAAATGCAGAATTCCAGAGACTAGCTGGGCCATCACCAGTCACCTTGACTTTGGCCTTACCACTGGACTCAGATGACCCGGGAGGAGAAAGTGAGGCTGATGATTTTATTCAGCTCTGCCTCACTTAAATCCAATTCACCGTTGTGATGTCATTGATCTTCAAGAACGAAGGCCGAACAACAAAACAGCCAAGAGCAAGGACAGAGAAGGTTTTTTCTTAAATGAACAATGCAAAGAAACAGAAGAAAACAATAGAATGGGAAAGACAAGAGGGTTCTTCGAGAAAATCACAGCTACCAAGGCAGCATTTCATAGAAAACCAGGAATGCAAAGGTGACCGAATTCCAACCCAGCTATTTAAAATCCTAAAAGACGATGCTGTCAAAGTGCTCCTCTTAATATGTCAGCAAATTTGAGAAACCCAAGAGTGGCCACTGGATTGGAAAACATCAGTTTACCCATCCTAGAGAAGGGCAATGCCAAAGAATGTTCAAATGACCAAACAACTGCATTCATTTCACATGCCAGCAAGGTTACGCTTAAGATTCTGCAAGCCAGACTTCGGCAATATGTGAATCAAGAATAACAGGGGAGCAGGCTGGCTTTCAAAGGACAACTAGAGACCAAATTGCCAATATTTGCTGGATTATGGAGAAGACAATGGAGTTCCAGAAAAACCTCTACTTCTGCCTCACTGACTACACTAAAGCCTTTGACTGTGTGGATCACAACAAAATGTGGCAAGTCCTCAAAGAGATGGGAGTACCAGATCATCTTACTTGTCTCCTGAGGAACGTGCATGTGGGTGGGCCAAGAAGCAACAGTTAGAACTGAACATGGAACAACTGATTGGTTTAGGATTGTTACCTTATTTATTTAACTTATATGCAGAATATATCATGTGAAATTCCAGGCTGGATGAATCAAAAGACATAATTAAGGTTGCTGGGAGAAATATCAACAATCTCAGATATGTAGAAGATACCACTTTGATGGCAGAAAGTGAAGAAGTGATGAGTGAAAAAGAAGAGCGTAAAAGCTGGCTTGATGCCTGACATTAAAAAAAAAAAACTAAGATCCTGGCAACTTGCCCATCACTTCCTGGCAAACAGAGGGAGAAGAAATGGAAGCAGTGTCAGATTTTATTTTCTTGGGCTCAAAGATCACTGCAGATGGTGACTGCAGCCATGAAATTAAAAGACACTTGCTCCTTGGAAGGAAAGCTATGGCAAATCTGGACAGCACACTAAAAAACAGAGACATCATCTTGCTGACAAAGGTCTGATTAGTCAAAGCTATGGTTTTTTCCAGTAGCAATGTATGGCTCTGAGAGATGGCCTATAAGGAAAGCTGAGCGCTACAGAATTGACATTTTCAAAATGTGGAGCTGGAGAAGACTTTTGAGAGTCCCTTGGACAGCAAGGAGATCAAATCAGTCAATATTTAAATAAATTAATTCAGACCATTCACTAGAAAGTCAATTACTGAAGCTGAAGTATAATGAGAA